TGCCTAAAAGCACACAGCTCAAATGGGACCAGGGTATTTTTATTCTGTGGATACAGAAGCAGATGTTCAGGTCAAGCCCAGATACATTCATATGCAGCAGCTGCAGGTTCTGGGCATCCCAGGCCTTTCAGAGCTGAAGGATGTCTGCTGCAGGACCCCAGCCCAGTGACCTGGTTTCTCTAGCAGAGGAACGTAAAGGCCCACTGAGGCAGAGATACTTTGAGGTCAAGAAACAAGCTTTGGTTGGGTGCAGTGGCACGTGCCTGTAATCCCAGCTGCTCAGGAGGCTGAGGCAGAAGAGTGGCAAGTTTGAGGTCAGTTTGGGGGTATTTAATGAGACTCTGTCTCAAAATTATATTTTTAAAAAGGAGCTGGGGGTGGAACTTGGTGGTAAGAGTGCTTGCCTATCATGTATGAGTCTCTGAGTTCAATCCCTAGTACTGAAAAAAAAAAAAAGAGAAAGAAAAAGAAAAGAACAAGTTTTAGAATCTCAGGGAAACAACTCTGCAATAAATTACAGACTGTATGGTGGTGGAAAGCTTTAAATTCAGACAGACCTGGAGTCCAGGGGAGACTGTGCCTCCTCCAAGCTGCACAAGCCCCAGCCCATCACCCACTCTTGAGCTTGTGGTGTTCTACAGGATAGGGCTCTGCCTACCCCCCCCCCCCCAGATGGCACAGAGGGAGAGGCCCTAAGCTCTGGGGGCATTTCCAGGGGCTGAAGGGGAACCTGTCTGACATTCATCTCTCCCTGAGGGAGGTGAGTGCCAGGGCCTAGGGTTCATCTCCTGGAGAGAAATGCCTGGTCCTCAGACCAGGGAGAGGCAGTGGGTGACGTACAGGCAGATCTGACTCTGTACCCTTGTAGGAGTCTTCCCCTTCCTGAGCCTTGGTTTTCTGACCTTTTCAATCTTGCAGCGCAGTTGTGAAGATTGAGATGATGATGTCAGTACTTAGTGCCTAGTGACTGGCCAACAGGAAGTGTTCCATAAATGGCTGGGCAGCATTATTTTCAAAAGCAAGATTGCCCTGTGATGTCCTTGGGGTCACCTGTACCATCTCTGTGCTCAAGACTCTCCTCATTGCCTGGCAGGGACTATAGTATGAAACATCACTCCTGGGCTGCTGTCCACTCTGAGGTGGGGCTCATTGGCAGGCAGGGCTTGGGAAGTTGTAGATGCCAAGAGGGCCTGTCAGGACAGTCCCAGGTAGAAGGAGAGGCCCTGGAGTAGCAGGGATGAACCCAGAAGGTTCAGGGATCTAGGCCTCTCCAGACTGTATGCCAAAGGTAGTGTAGATGGAGACAGGGGCCACAGCTTTCAGACTCTCAAAGGGGGCCATGAGGAAAATAATTAGGAACTTTGGTCTGGATGTCAGCAAGTCAGACATTCAGAGCTCTTGTGGGAGGGCACGGCAAATGAGGTGTGCCTCAGTCCTACACCCTGGCACTGGGGGTGAACCGTCGCCCTCACACCATCCGTCCGCTGGCCACTACCAGCCAGTAACAGCAACAGTGCCCTGCCTGGGCACATGCTCTGCCTGAGCTCCAGGTCTGGTGGGACCACCAGGCTTGGGGTATGGGAGACAGACTTGGGCCCAGCAGGTGGAATGGGGATCAGTAGGGCAAGCCTCCATGGGGCTTAGCTCAGGACTGGGGGTCTTGAGGTAGAATAGTGATGGGGGTGGGTGAAAATCCTAAAGACCTGAGAAGATGAGGGCAGAGGAAAGGAGGCCAGCCGCAGGGGCTCCTTCTCATCCATGGGAGAGATGGACCATCAGGTCTAATGCCTTGCCCTGGGGCGCTTAGTCAAAACACAAACCCCAAATTCTGGTCTCAAGAGTTCCCTGCAGAGTTCCCCTCAAATCCTTATTCAGAGGCCTCAGACTGTCTTGGAGGTATGACTGTGCGTTCCTTTTCTTCTTTCTTTTTAATCTTATTTGTCCTTTCTTGCTTATGTTTTTCTTTTTCTTTTGGTACCGAGGATTGAACCTAGAGGTGCTCAGTGACTGAGCTACATCCCCAGCCCTTTTTATTTTTTGAGACAAGGTCTCACAGAGTTGCTTAGGGCTTCACTAAGTTGCTGAGGCTAACTTTGAACTCATACTCCTCCTGCCTCAGCCTCCTGACCCCCTGGGCATCATTGTGCCTGGCTATTGCTTATGTTTTTCTCATAAATCACTCAAATTATTTTGGGAAGCAGGAAGAGTACAAATTGAAAGGAAGGGGGGAAAAAAAGAAAGCTAGTTGTATATCAGATGGCTCCCTGGAGACAGCAGACTCTCAGTTGTGAAACAACTTTTAATGATTCTTTTGTTTGTTTTCCTAAAAGATCATTATTTTTGATAATTAAAGTAAGCATTTTAAAAATATGGAAATTTTGTAGAAATAAGATACGAAAAAAAAGAATTTCCCTCAATTATTTGTATAATCACAGTATTTAAGCATGTTTCCTTTGAGACTTTTCTTACATGTATAAATTAAAACTTTTTTTTTTGTATTTATACCACAACTGGTATACAGTTTTCTTTTAACATAGATAGTTCTCTTCGGTACTAAAATCTCTTTATAAATATCTAAAATACCTCAGTCTTCCATAGTTAGACATTTAGACCTTCCCCCAATTTTACATTATCATAAATAAAACACTGACACAGATCCTTGTCCACAGATTTCTTTTCCAAGTTAAGATTATTTTCCAAGTAAGCAGAGAACTAAACCTGGATCCAGTTCAGAGAGGGCTGGGCCAGTAAGAGTGTGCGTGCTTTTGAGTGTCAGTATGCGTGTGTTTGGGTGTGTCCTTCTGAGTGTGTGTCTGTATATGCTCGGGTGTCAGTGTATGTTTGTGAGTGTGTGCTTGTGAGTATGTCAGAGCTGCATTCCTGGTTGACCCTGCAGGAGAGGGCAACTGAGGCAGGCCTTCTCCCCAACCCATTTTCTCAGCCTGTGGATCTTGTTGGAGTAGAAACACCTGGGTCTAAAATCCCTCTGAACCTTCAGGTAGAGCAGAGCAAAGCCCTCAGGCCTGTGATCAGATATTCCCCTGCATCAGGGCCCCTGTGGGACAGCAGAGGTGAGTGGCGCCTGATGCAGTGTTTATGTGCTGCAGGCTGGCCGGCCTGCCCAGCTGCACAGGCTCTGCTCAGATGCGCTGGGACCGAGCTGAATCCCAGGACAGGCTGGGCTGGTTTTCTCCTCAGAAAGACTAGTCGGTGGGGTCAGCCAGCGGATAAGCTAAAGTTAACTTAGCTCTTATTGCGTTTTGTTAATGAGGGGCGGGCCAGCTGCGAAGATGCCAAATCATTCAGAAACGTTGTGCAGAGCTTGAGATTTAATATGTCAGAGCAAATCCTGTATTCAGGCAAAAGAAAGCAATTGACAATGATTTTTAAGTCCTGACTGGGCTCCCTTGAGTCCCTTGTGCTTCAATGAGCTTTCATTTTATTATTTTGTTGAAAAATATTTTTCCAATGAAGTTATGACTCTTGGAAGCTGGGGGAAGCACAGGCGACCTCATTGGACTGGTCAGAGTTGCGGGAGATCTCATGGTGGGAAGCTCAGGTCTAGCCAAGCTCTGAGTGGGTGGAGGACCGGGTTCATAGGGGGTTCTGTGACCAGGGCTGTCAGGTGGCCGGATACCTGTCCTCTGTGATTGTAGGGGCTGAGGGAAAAGGAGCAGAAATTGCCTTCCCTGGGCATCAGTCAATAGGAACAAACCGTCTCATTCTCAGAGACGAGATTCAAAGGCAGAGCTGAATATCCTGGGTGTTCCTGAGCCAAGATCACTTGACTTGTAGCTTGAAATTCCAAAGCCTGCTAGCGCATTCATAGAGGCTGTTCAAAGTGACCTCCTTTGACAAAGAAGCAAAGCACCCATAGGATTGAAGTCACTTGAAAAACTTTGTTAAGGTCACTGGGCAAACATATTTAAAACACTTTAAAGAATTCATATTTGAGATGTTCCTGCTATAAAGTAGTCTCTGAGCAAGTCTAACAGAAAGCTTGGGCCCATAGCTGAGAGCTCAGAGTGAAAAGTTCTTTTTTATGTGCTGCCTGTTGGCAACCTACCTACTGTGCACCGGGCACAGCGCTGGGCTCTGGGGGAAGGGGATGCAAAGACTGGATTTTTCACCTATAGTCTTAGTGCGAAGAGCAGGTAAGGGCGAGAATCCATTCTGATCAGGGCAAGGCCATAAAGTAATGCCTGAGCTGCACTTGAAGAACGAACACAATAGTGATGTTCACAGAGAAGGGTCTGGAAGGCAGGGGACGTGGCCTGAGCAGAGGCATAGGATGGTACCAGTAGTGCCCCTGGGAAGATGGATTGTTGGGGAACTGAAAAGGCAGAGGATGGAGAGGATATGGTGGGCTGTTGCCAGGTGATTGAGAACTTTGATATTCATCTTAAGGAGTGTGGACTTTGTGTAGCTCATAATGACCCACGGGAGCTTTATGAGCAGGGAGGTAACTTGTAAACATCAAGTGATTTTTTTTCAGTGAAAAGCAAACTCATAAATATACGTTCATTGAAAGTTACTCCAGCTATGGGCTCTGGTTGTGACTCAGTGGTAGAGCACTTGCCTAGCATGTGTGAGGCACTGGGTTCGATTCTCAGCACCACATATAAATAAATAAAATAAATAAAGGTTCATTGACAACTAAAAAATACTTTAAAAAAAAGAAAGAAAGATATTCCAGCTATACCGAAGTCTATGAAGCAAGAGATGAAAATTCCTCCTCCCCAGAGGTAACCACTGTTCTGACTTAGGATGTCATTTCACCCCGTGTATCTATAGATATAAGTACACAAAAGCCAACCCTGTGACAGGAAGGGAGATGGAACTATCAGATCTTCTCCAAATTCCCCCATTTCTTCCTCTCCTCTCTCTTTCACACACAAAACCCTACTTAATATTTAACCTTTATATAAAATACTACTGTAACCAAAGGGTATATGTGTCTTGTCACGCGGTTCATTTTGTGTTCCTTTGTGTTATTTCAGAGCATGGTTTTGTTGGATACTCACCAGAACTACTACAGAACAACACTCTGCCAGATTACAGTCCCGGGGAGACCTTTTTCACTGTGTTTGGGGTGTTCTTCCCAGCAGCTACAGGTATTACCATTTGGATTCTTTTTCACTCACACATTAGGAGTGTATATTCTTGGTTCCCAAAATTCAGTGTCAGAACTGTCCTGCCTGCACATGCTCTTAAGATGTATATCTGACTTTAGAGATGGCATTGGCTTTGACTAAGAATCTATTATTATAACAGTTCATTTACTTGTTCATAATTTCTGAAGGACTCAGCATGATTTTATCCTCCTTAGCCCTTATACTCATATATTGATAACTCTTGGCCAAATTAACAGAGAGCCTCTATTTATCTTAGGGCTGAGTAGGATGGATTCCTCAGCATGACAGGCTCCCCTCCTCATACCTGGAAGGAGTGCATACTTGGTTTAGAAGCTCTTCCCACCCCCTCCTTTCCCATTGCAGATTCTTCCAGGGGGCCTGGGTGTGTAAGATCCCGCAGGCAGTGAATGAATCTCGTCACTTGGACCGATCCCCACTTTCCTACTCTTCAGTAGCCATGGAGCAGCGTTCTAATATGAAGGTCCCTGGAGATCGCTTGTCTTGTGCTTGCATCCCTGGCCTGGAAGGCAGTAAACTAACACGTTGACAGGTGACCCACAGGAGATATGTTCAGGGACTGGGCTTGTCCCCAGGGCACAGACTCAGAGGAACATGTCACTCCCTATCTAGCTAGTGTTGTGAGCTGGAGTGTGGCTACTGCTTTCTCCTTGTCTTCCGCCCTGTCTCCCTCTACCTTCCTACGGGTGCCATATCCCTGCTCATTACCCTCTCCCCAAATAGAAAGAAGAAGCTACTAGAATGTTTAAGATGAAAAAGGCAGTACATATGTCAAAAATGTGGAGACACTGGAACCTTCATCCACCACTCATGGGATGCAAATGGTGCTACCACTTTGGAAAACAGTGACAGTTTCTTAACAAGTAGACACACACACACCCAGCATGTCACCCCTGCTTATGTACTGCAGAGGACTGAGAAAGCATGTGTTCATATGAAGACTTGTCTGTGAAAGTTCAAAGCAGTTCAATTTGTAATAGTCCCCAAATGAGAGCAGCTTGAATATTCATCAACAGATGAACAGTTAAGTCTAGGTACAGCCACACAGCAGGAAACTATTTAACAATAAAAATGAATGAATTATTTACACACACAACAAATATATGAGTCCAAAACCATTATGATGAGTGAAAGAAGTCAGACCCCTCAAAAAATACCTAAAAAGATAAAATTAGATGATCAAATTCTAGAAAATGCAAGCTCTAGTAACAGCAAGCCGATCAGTAGGTGCCTGGGAATGAGATTTAGGGAGCAAGAGGGAAGGATTATTAAGGGGCAGGAAGAAATTTCAGGGGATGAAAAATGCATTTCTGATTAGATGATGGTTTCACAGGTCTCCCCAAATGGGAATATTCATCAATAGATTAACAGTTAAACAAAACTTTTCAAATTGTTAAATTTAAAACATATGTACCCAAGCACCGTGGTGCACACTTGTAATCCCAGCCACTCAGGAGGCTGAGGCAGGAGGTTCACAAGTTCTAGTCCAGTCAGGACAACTTAGCAAGGCTCTGTCTCAAAAAAAAAAAAAAAAAAAAAAAAGGGTTGCGAATGTAGTTCATTGGTAGAGCACCCCTAGGTTCAATCCCTAGTACCACAAAAACAAACAAACAAAACAAAATCACATATGCGGTTTATTGCATGTTAATTATTCCTCAATAAAGATGTTAAAATGAAAAAAAATGACTTTATTCACCTTTTCTAAATTTCACTTTTCCAAAGCCCTTTTCTCTCCTTTTTACAGCCTGCTTCCCTTTTCCTAACCTCTCCTCTACTCCCTCACTCTCTCCTTTTGGAATTCCAGGTCTGTCTCTCCAGAGAGATGGGTCTTTTCCCACCACTGAATTCCCTGTTAGAATCTTTAGTGGACATTCTTGATTTCTTGCTTTATTTGACTCCTGAGGAGTAATCCACTTCCTGTTCCTTTCTCTTGCCTTATACTTCCTACTGTTTACTGCCTGTGTGAGTTCATCCTCTTTTGCCTGCCCATTAAATGCTACTGAGATTCATTCTTTTCTTTCTCTACTGTTTTCCTTGGAATCTCATCCCTGCCCATTATTCAGTGATCAGCCCCAGCGCTGATGACTCCCACATTCACATCTCTAGCCTAGACTTGTCCTTGAAGGTTCCCATTATTTATTCATTGTTTATTATGTGTGATAGTTCTCATTATTTATTCAGGTTCCCATTATTTACTCATTATTTATTATATGTGACATCTTCTTTTGGCTATCTTGGACCCAACAAGTTCAAAACGAAACTCATCCCACCTGCCTCCAAATGACTCTTTACCCGTATTTCTGGTCTCAGTGAATGGTGTCTCTGTGTAGTTGATTGCTCATGAGAGTAAGGGGAGTTCTTGGTGATTCTTCCCTCTTTCTCCCAGTATTCTCCAATACTGTCAATTTTACCTCCTAAATATCATGGATTTTCTCTTCTCTTCCTCTCTGCCATCTGACCAGTCTGGTCCAAGCTTCATCTCTCACTTGGATCGTTGCTTGACATTCCTTGTTCATGGAAATGAGCCTGAAACTAAGGCTCAGTAGTGACAGGTCCTGGTGCACAAACCCACAGTTGCTGGATAGAGTGACTGTAAACCTTTATCCTGCCAGGAAGACTTAAAACTAATGTCAGTCCTTCATGACACCTTCTCCTGGCCTTGCCTTGTTTGCATCCATTCAGGGTCTTGGGGTCCTACACTGTACCAAGGGATATTGGAATCTCTGGCTCTTCCCCATCTGTGTACAGAGCCAGGCCCTCCTGTTGTCCTGTGTGCCAGGCCTTCAGGTTGATGCTGCCTCTGCACCACTTTTGGGAACCAGAAATCTGCTGACCTTGGGGACCCTGTCCTCTAGGTACTTCCCAGACTGACCTTTCTGAGGTCTTGCTAAATCTCCCCCAGTGCTGCCAGGGAATGGGAACAAAGTCCCCATTTCTTCAGAATCTCTGGGCTTCTCTTTCCTTGTCCAGGGACACGTCTGCCCAGGGACAGCTACATGGGAATTGATTGATGCAGTCACACTGGGCCCCATGTTTAAGGCTTTGCAATTGCTGGGTTTTTTTTTTTTTTTTTTTAATCAAGGGATCCTGGAATTTTTGTTTTGGCTGAGCCCCATATACCATGTGGAAATTCCTGTTCTTGTCCCCCACGCTGTCCCAGCCATTTGCCTGGTTCTTTTCTACTTCTTCAATCTTTTAAAATCTAAGGGCCCAGGCTATGGAGTCAAGTCAAAACAGTATGCAGATGAATTCTGATTCTTCTCTGCTGCACATCTTCCCCAAGGCCATCGAATCTAGGTCAGTTTCCTCTTCAATGGACAGAAGAGGAAAGGGAGAAAAGAGAAGGAATAAGAAAATTTCACATCTGACACATTCTAGCCCCCTTCCAACCCTTCCCCTCCCACACTCTAATTGAGCACATATTCATGGGACTCCCCTAGGGAAGTTCCCTGGGGTCTGGCAGGGAGTCCCTGCCAGGTGAAGGCTGGGTCAAGATACAGGTTAACAGTTACACCTGGGACTGGGACTGTGGGACTTCTTGGCTGATCATGCTCCAGAAGCAGTCATCTCAGCGTGTCCTTGGGCACCCCAGGAGAGCCCTGATTTTCCCATAGTTTGCATATCCTCCTTTGCCTCTGAGGGCCCCTAGTCCTGTTAAAAGAGAGGAAGCCTGATGTGAGTTGGGGGCCGGGGTGTAGAACCTCCTTTCCAACACTTCTTTCAGACAGGAATTAGCAGTGGCCTGAGGTTTGAGGATGCCCCCAGCAATCCAGAGTTGGAGAGATAAGATCAGCTAGTTCAGCAACTCTCAATTTGCTTTTTTTTTTTTTTTTGTGGTACCAGGGATAAAACCCAGGACCTCATGCATGCTAGGCAAGCTGTCTACCACTGAACCACACCTCCAGCCTCTTCAATTTATTGCCTTTTAAGCCCATACTCCTCCTCCTTCTTCTTTTTTTTTTGTACTGGGGATTAAACCCAGGGGTGTTTAATTATTGAGCCACATCCCCAGCCCTCTCTATTTTATATTTTGAGACAGAGTCTTGCTAAGTTGCTTAGGACCTTGCTACTGAGGCTGGCTTTGAACTTGTGATCCTCCTGCCTCAGCCTCCCCTGTTGCTGGGATTACAGCCGTGCTCCACCACACCCCCCAACCCATATTCCTTATTGATAATCATTATCAGAAACCTCAGAGACACCGAAGATTCTGCCCCAGGGATGGGTGCGTTTGAGAATAATTGCTACCTAAGAATATTAGTCAAGATTTATTTTTTTGTGTGTGGTTTAAGTTATGAAAGTTTTATTTTGTAATATTCCAAATATTATAATACTGAATAGGCTGTCACTACACAGTCTTCTTCAGCTCGCTCCTCTTAAGGGATGGGTTTTCCTGCCCTCCCATTCCCTGTCAGCCCAATCAGGTTGAGAATCACTGATCCTTCCCTTTACCAACTGGGGAAGGAGGGGCACAGAGCGGCTTAGGAGGACTTGATAAAGGTCACCAGCTAATTAGTGAGTGGAGTTGGGCTATTGTCTGCTGTGGGGGTTGCCCTCCCCTGGTTCTCTCTGTTTACCAGGACCCCAATGTAAACATGGTAGGCAGGATGGATGATTTGTACCACTTGTTTCCCCCTGGCAGATGTTTGGTTGAGCTATGAAAAGCATGGATGATTGGCAGTTTCCATGGTGATAGATTCGCCTAGGATTAGCTGTGAGTGAGTCATGGCTGGGGCTTCCTCCAAAGCCATCCTCTTCTGGAACAAGAGAACCTCCAGGCAGTGGAGAGGGGAGAGAGGTTTTGAAGAACAGACACTTCTGCCCCCGCCACCCCAGGACATATGACTTAAGTTACTTCAGACATTTTATCCCAAAGGCAGGAGACTTCCGAAGAGCAGCTGAAGATTAGGTGCTGGTGGCCGCTCTGGGTTGATGCAGAACAACCTCTTGTCCTCACTGCGCTG